CAGGGAAGAAGCTTGTCAGCTGCGCGGACTCAATGTCCGCAATCCATCGTCTGGCAGCAATGGGGTCCTTTGCCCCGTGGAAATCTGGTGCACTACTGCCCCTGAAGTCCTTAAAGGACAGTGTGTCGGATCCTGACTGGCCAGATGCCATATCACTCCTAAACGCCCTGAGGCGATCCTCCATCAGCTCGACTATCCCTTCCTTGATCAACCCGAAGATGATAGGGGTCGACTCAAGGATGCCCCTGGTGATCTTTGACTCGATGAACTTGCATAGCCTCTCATCTACTGGCTTGGAACCTGATCCCGAGCTCGATCCCTCTCCTGAACTGCCAACTACCGGCCTCTGCCGTAGTACCACCATTCTGTAAAACATAATACTAACCGTTAGTGATACCGATACATCTTGAGGTATCACATCCACTACAAGTTCCCTGGTCTTGTCTCAGCCTTCCTCAATTTAGGTACAGATCCTCTGCTTTCAGTAGTACGGGCCCATACTACCTTCCACATCTATACGTACCTTCCTTAAGGACTGCCTTGACTCCACCAAGTCCCTTTCACCACTGCTGGTTCTCTGCTATTCCCATCTTAGGCTTACCCTAGGGAAAATCTCTAACTTCACCCAAACCGGTCCTCAGCTGCGGAAGGCCTCCTTGTAATGCCAATTAGCCATTACCTGAATACCATCACATGTAATGAGGCTCAGATAATCCTTCGAGTAATAGAGTCGTCCCTACAACGGTTAGTCTCATACAAGAGCTGCGCAATAGGGCCAAATCCAGCACACTGAGATTATTCAACCCTGATCACATGTGACGTGACGTATTCACCTAATGGCTGACTCCCATCACTCAGAGTCCCCACAAATCACAAAGCAAGCGACATTCGGACGCAGGAAAACTACTCAAGCAAGTTTGTCCTCATAATGAGAAGCTGAACTAGCATATAATGTAGAGCTCATACTACCAGGCATAACCTAAACAGGCTATCCTACTACTGTCTACTCAATACTAGCATGCAATTCTCATAAGCTGAAGCACATAAAGCAGGCACATAAGGCATCATTCCTAGATCCTTAGTCCTATTCTAGCATGATGTTCTACTGAAACTGATAAGCATAACTTGTATGGGTACTATAGGGAATACTTACTTGAGCTCGGCCGGTTGCGCACATCACACAATTGTTCCTTCTCAAAACTCTTTTATCTTAGCGTTTAGAAAGTCATTTTCCTTGTAAAAAAAATCTTTTAATCCCTTGGTTTGAGTCCAAACACCCCCGAAGGTGTATCCGAATCCCTCAAACCAGGGCTCTTATACCAACTTGTAACGACCCAATTTTCACGACCAAAAATTTCATTTTTGATTAAGTGATTTGCATAATATTTGAAATCAAAATATCAACCGATCATATCATTTAATAAAAGCATGTCTCGTATCTGAAAACCAAATCGTAAAAACATAATAATGTCAGAGTACAAATCCCAGAATAACTCATAATATGGAAAACAAAGAGTGTGTGTATGATGTGTCGCTACCGTGCCAACTCCTTCCCCTTCGCTGAAGAGGTACCTGAAACCAAAACTGTAAACTGTAAGCACGAAGCTTAGTGAATTCCCCCATCGTACCATATACCATGCAATCACATAGCATACATACTGTCGGGCAATTCTGGGATGCCCGACCTACCCGGTACGACCATTTTGGGGTGTCAACCTACCCATGCAGCCATTCTAGGGTGTCGTCCTACCCATGCGGCCATTTTGGGGTGCCGTCCTACCTATGTCAAGCCATTCTAGGGTGTTGACCTACCCGTCGGTCCTAACAACCGACCCTCGGGGACTATTCCACCCCTTACTGCTACTATCACATATATCATAACGTAAACATACTATCAAACATATCAGGGGTGTCCGAACTATCTTTCGGTCCTAACAACCGAACTTGGGGACCATAACCCTCCTACTACCTCTATCACATATAACATATCATTCTAACATATAAACAAATCAGCACATATTATCAGACATATCTAGGGTGCCTGACCTACCCTTCGGTCCTAACAACCGAACTCTACTACTATCACATATAACATATCATGCCAACATACAACATATCAGGTAATAGCAAACCTAGATGATATCACAAAGACAATCATCTAATCATACAACTCCTACTGGTGGGTCGGCATTGTGGCCATAAACCCACCACTACTGGAAGGTAACTCACCTCGTAGTAGCTGCTGATCTATGCGGGAATCCTCTGATTGTTGTCGTTGCTGCTCCGGAAATCTTCTGGCTATAATTCCCACAAAACACTTAATCATACACTGCTAACTCTTCTTAGAGTAAACTGACCATTTTACCCCTGACCAAATCAAAGTCAAAGTCAACTTCTAGTTGACATGACTCGCCGAGTTGGCTCGCCAACTCGTCGAGTCCTTATGCTTTCATTTGTCCTTAAACCCGTCTCTACTCGTCGAGTTAGGCGATGACTTGATGAATTTTCCTTCTAAATGAACATCGACTAAATCCTCATCTGACTTACCGAGTTATATGAACAACTCGTCGAGTTCATCTTCAAATGATATACAGGTCCTATCCTTGACTCTCCGAGTTATATGAACAACTCGTCAAGTTCATCTTCATCCTTAAGAAGTTTGCCTTGGACTCGCTGAGTCTGCTCATGAATTCACCGAGTCCCATGAACTTACAAAACAATGGCTTAGTCTAGAACGTTGGGTCACTCCCCGGAACCCCCTTAAAACCTTTCCACAATCAACTGGGTCCTTATGACCCTCAACTGATGTGGGACAGAAACCTTGGACTCGTTGAGTCCAAGAATGGACTCGTCGAGTTGGTCACATCCTCTCACTAAATCTTCGATTTCTGATGTACAACCCTTGATCAAAAGATAGATTTATGCTTCTACAATCGATCTAGCACGTAAAGTTTCAACCTTTACGTGCTTTCATGGGACTTTGAGCTCAAAAGGTCCTAAAACAATCTCTTACAATGCATGGGGCCTTCTTTGAGTGCAAGAGTCACTCCTTTCTGCCTTGTAACCCCTAAAGGGGCTAGATCTGAAACATCAACTCCTAAGCATGCTTGCAATTATGGTTGGTGACCAAAATGGCTTAGAAAAGCCCTAAAACTCCACAAAATGGGACCTATCAAAAGAACAAACAAGGTATAGACTTTATACCTTATGTAGACTGCAAATGATACTCAAGATTGGATTTTTCTAGCCACCTCTTGATCCTTCAAGCTTTTCCTTCCTTCCTTGGGTCACAAAAGCACCAAAATCACTCCAAATGCCTTAGATTGCTTTAATAACGGCTAGGATTTGCTATGGAGGTCTTCTGGGAGCAAATGGGACAAAGGAGGCCGAGTTAAGGTGTTTAAATAGGGTGCAAACCCTCGGGTTAGGGATTTTGCCCAGACAGGGCCTACTTGCCGAGTCTGGGACCCTACTTGTCGAGTCCACTGCTTAAATCCCGCGTCTCATCCCACTTCTACTCGGCGAGTTCGTCCTTCAACTCGCCGAGTCCAAGGCCAAAATGCAAAAATAATAAAAAAAGATTACGTACCAAGAACCAAGTGCTACAGTTAGAATATTTCATGTGTTAAAAAAACGGTAAAAAAAAATTTGGTTAAATAAAGTTCCGAAAATAATTATTAAATGAACATGAACATATATATATATATATATATATATATATATATATATATATATATATATATATATATATATATAATTACAAAATTATTATGGTCTCAAATGAACATGAATATATATATATATACCAAATAAGGAATGGTAAATCCTTATCATCTCGATGTTTGAATCCTCATTTCTACTTAATGTAAAGAATGTTGGTTCTCACTTATTTTATATATATATATATATATATATATATATATATATATATATATATATATATATATATATATATATATATATATATATATATATATATATATACACACCAGATAAGGAATGGTAAATCCTTGTCATCTTGATGTTTGAATCCTCATTTCTACTTAATGTAAATAATGTTAGTTCTCACTTATTTTACCATTTATTTATTTTTTGAGAACAACCTAATTTAAATCAATAGAGGATGTTGTATATACTAATTGAAAAAATTCTTCTTAATAAATAAATGTTTTTTTGCCACATGTTAATCTCTCATGAGTTTTGATACTTATCATTTTGTGGTATTTTTGAAATAGATATCATCTACTTGTCAATTTTTGGTTGTTTTAATTTTTAAAATTAAAGTTATATACTTATATATGTGAAGTATTAAATTATATATATATATATATATATATATATATATATATATATATATATATATATATATATATATATATATATATATATATATGATAGTAAATTAGAATAAATACGATTCTTTCTTTCTTATTTTAAAGTTTTACATTAAAAATATTTTTTGTTTACACTTTAATCTTTAATATTTTTTTAAATCAACCCGTATAATATATGAGTCTCACACCAAGTTAGGGAATAAATACCATATAAAATTCCACACAGGTTTTAATATTTCAGTATTGCACATGTATGAATCAATATTTAGTAAATTATTAATATTGTTCCATCTACGAACAAAAGTTATTTTATTCGTTCCTTTTGTGTGTACAATGTTTTTTCAAAGGCGATAAAAGCTTTGATGATTTTATTAGATGTATTGGCATGTAGTTACAATAACAAAATCACACGAATAACATTAATTTTTTTGAAAATGGCAAATAAAATTGAAAGAAATCGATAGTTTTGTCAAATCATGCATGTTTGTTGTATTGAATATTAAGTGAAAAATAAAGTTTTTGTATAAATATAAACACGTAATTGGTTATTTTAATTACATATTAGATGTCGTATGAAATTAGTTCCCATTTAAAACCCTATATATATGCGTAATTTTTCATGACTTATTCCAAGTCATCCGTAGAGCATTAAGAAAAACATATACAATGGTTGTCAAACATTTTGCTATTGCATCAATTTGTTTTTTGATTTGCACAACTCATATTGTTTATGGTCAAAGTCCTTTTCGAGATGAGAAATCATCCTGTGGAGATAATCAAAAGAACAAACCTCTTACTATAGCACTTAAGCTTCGTGACATAGCTATCATGGGTTTGCAGGAATCAGAACATCTGATTCGGGTTTTAAATAGATCATCTAATAACCATTGTGGAAGTGAGAGGATAGAAAAACTTACAGGCACCTTCATGGTTAATTCTCAAGAAATGGACGATAATGGATTTAAATATGAAGGAGGAGAAGGTAACGGTGATGGCCTTGGTGGTACCACACCTTGAGGTGTAGCGCTAGAGGTGGCAACTGTACAACAATTCCTCAAAACACAAACTAAAATGTTGAAATAAAATGAGAGCAACTAGCTTTCTAACCCAATCTATCTACTCGTAAGTAATCTGTATGGTTTGACTTTATACCATATATGGTTTTTTTCTTTGTATTTATGTATTATATCTTATTATATCAATAAAGGAATCTGTTGGCCAATTTTATATATTCATATATTAGGTGTAAGATCCATGTATTAGATGGGTTCATTTATAAGAAAAATTAACTATGAAATTCTTAACATTTTGAGAAATTTGAATTTATAAGAAAAATTAGAAAAATAATAAATTATTAAAATTAAACTGTTGTTTTTAATTTAAACTAATAATTTAGATAAATAAAATATGAAACTAATAAGGATATATTTTAGAAAAATTGAAATTAGAAAAAATATCAATTAATGATATTGATATGCATTTATTATTACATTTACTGCAATTATTATATTTGAATATTATGTGAAATTTAATAAATAAATAAAAAACCACAAAGTGTCATGTGGAAAAATTTTAATTGAAAAAAACCTTAAAATGGCATGAGGTCAAATCAATAAAAATTTGACATATGACAAAAAGATTTTCATTTATTAGAATAGATCTTTATATATTTTTGTATCGAACATAAACAATAATTTTTTAACCATTTGAATTATCCAAAATTATAATATGGAATTTGAATGTAACTTCAAATTAACAAAGGTCATTCATAACACAAAACTAATATTGAATTATGTTTTAACTATCATTGAATTGAATTGTAGACAACGATTCAATATAAATCTAACTTAATAAATGAAAATCAAGTTTACCAAATCTCATTATCTCATTGAATCAATTTCTAAGAGTTTTTGAATTACTTTTTTACATCGGTCATTTTCTTGTATTTTTTGTTTTCTTAAATTTAAAATCCATATTTTAGTGAGATTTATATATCTAAGGTAGATTACTCTATTAAATTTCATAATAAATGTTTTAAAACTTTTCAAATCTTCTGCATTATATATTAAATTACTTACTTTATTTATTATATATTTTCTATTTATGTAAAACTATTATGTAATGCTTATAATTTTATATTAAACTTTTCTTTTTTATAAAATCGTTTAATACATAGATCTTACACTTTGTATACATTTGAAAAAGTGAGCACATGAAACAAACATTTTGCATTATGCGCAAATCAAAAATGAAAAAGAAGAAGCAATGAAAAAATGAGATGGTTATTATATTTCGATGACTTTTGATGTTAAATTTTTTAGGAAACAATAATAAGTATTAGAGTAATGCACTAAAACATTACCTCGAATAAATGTTAAAAATTTTCAGATGAGGATTATTAATATAAACTAGAAAAGGTGCCCTACGTTGCGGGGGTTGGATGGTATTGGTTTGTAATACGGAATCAAATACATTAAGTTGTAGAAAGTATATTAGTATGGGTAAAAGAGTAAAGTAGATTGTTATTTCGTGCAATGTAGCCTATATTAACCAAGTCCGATCAGCCGATGAGTTTTTTTTTTATTACCATTTCATCTTTCCTCATATTTAATTGCCAGACTATAAGAATTACCTGATGAAGATGAACTGTCACTTTTAAATGACCTTTTTCATTTTTTAAAATAAGTACAATGAAGTCCAAGAATTCATAAAGATTTGAGAACTTTAGTCTTAGAAATCAACTTTTAAGCATTTAGAAGAGCACGGAAATTAACAAAAGGTTTCCTTTTTTCATTTTCAATTTTGATTGCAATAGAAAGATAAATTATTAGAAATTGTACTTGTATTTCTAATCCTTGAGCCTATAACTCGGTTATTCTTTGTATAGCTTTTTGTTGTAAACACTTGCGTCTTTTATATTCTTCTTCAAGCAATCCAATTAATTTGTATCTTAACTCAACCATTTCCAGAGCTGAATCTTCAACTTCTTCTTTTGCCTTATATTGTTAATCTCTTACTTGTTCCTGCCAACAATATATAACATAAAATTTAAAAACTTACAATACCCATTTTGTATTCCGCTCAAGTGGCTTACAAAAAGTTCATATTAATCCATTTTACATCATAGTAGTTGAGCCCCATATGATTCACATTCATAAAGATCAAGAATATGTAAACCTGCAAGCAGCAAAACAAAAGTGTCAACTAAAAAGTCAGCATACGCAATTATACAACGACATAAAACATGAAAATAAATAAGGTAATAAAGAAAGTCTATCTGATTAAGAAAACTACCAGATTGTGTGGTAGACTGTATTTCCTTGGAAAATCCATAAATAAAATAAAAGATATTTATATTTGGAAGGACTCTCTAAAAATGTTCTTTATGAAGTACACTTTCTTGCTTTGCTTCAACTATTAATTCGAATGATAGATAGCTATCCAACCTAATACATCAAACACAAATTAACCGTATTTGTAATCCATTTAGCATAATGAATTTGAACACTTCCCATTATTTTCGTACGCTTTTGTGTCTCCCTCATCAGCCTTATCATTTGTGGAGTTATGGGATTCTAGTTCATTGATCACACTTGTGTTGTCCCCATTGTCACAGAGAGTAGTAACCCACCCGCATGCATAATTAAGTAATTGCAAGGAAGTACACAACAGAAAAAATATATTTATTCATATCAAATTGATTCAAGTTTGTTCAATTTGAAAAGAATCGATTTCAGTATTTAGTCTTAAGTTCCTAAGAATTAAAATGATAATAGTTGCTAGAAACAGATTTACAGTTAGTTAGTTAGCTGATTATTTAGTTATTTGTCATAAGGGCATTTTTGTCATCTCTATGAAGAAGTTAGTTAGAAGAATGTTAGCTCAACTGAATGGAACTTGCTTTGTATATATGTCCACATAATATGTTTTGTTTTCTAACTTAATTAGAAGATTTAGAAAAGGAAACAGATTACTTGAACATATATACAAAGCAAGTTCCATTCAGTTGAGCTAACATTCTTCTAACTAACTTCTTCAAAAAAATGCCCCTATGACAAATAACTAACTAACTAACTGTAAAGCTGTTTGTAACAGTTTTTGCATAAATGGCATTAACCCTTTTTGAAAATGAACAACTCGTATATATGACAACCTTTTGTTTCTATATTTTCATATATAAGTTGTAGCTAAGAAAATAACTCAAAAGATTTGATGAATGTCATACCTGTCCTCATCTTGCACATCAACATGATGTGGAGTATTTTTATCCTTGTCTTGTGAATTTGGACCCATCCCTTGTGATGCAGCCACATGATGTTCATATTAACAACATGTTAGCATACAATGTTCTCTATTTGTATTATTAAATTTTATAATTTTTATAAAAAAAACTTACCAATAGTATCTTTCAGAGAGAACCATGTATGTTCATGTCAGCTTTTTCAATAGTCACTTGTTCCAGATCAGGCATGTCATCAAAATGATCCATGTTGTTCACTTTTGCTGCATTCTTTCTTATAATCCGCCAGCACATATGAAGTTACAAATTGTAAAATTTTCAGCAATCAAAAGTGTGTGGTTAAACTATTTGGAACAAAACAAAATAGGTTTTTTTGGGTGTAGGATATGGATAGATCACAGATCGAACCCAAGAAATACCCTAAATATACATACCATAAGTGTTTTTGTAATGGTTGGAAGCATAAGCAAGCAAAAGCAGATGCCGACGATTGAAAATGGAGAAGACCTTTCATCTAGGATGTCGCCGGCGGAAAAAAGCGGAAACAGACGAACAGAAATCGAGTAGTTGTTAACAGGAGATGTTGGTAGAAAAGGGGGCCGTGGGATGAACACGTATCCGACCATTGATTCAAGGGTCGGTTGGATTATGGTGGCGGTTGTGTGATGGTGAGTAACAGAAGAGACAGAGTTAGTGGTGGTGGTGAGACCCTTTTTAGGTTTAACTGAGAGGTAGAAATAAAGCGATTGATAAAAACACAGATAAAAAAAGAGGTCGGTTAGGAAAAGGCGGAGAAGAAGTACAAAAATCGGAATCCGATTGGATGAGAAAACGGTGAAGAAAGGTAGAAATCAGTTCAGCTTTGTGATGTTTAACCATTATAAAAAGTTTTGAATCGTAACGATAATATACATCACATCACGTATTTTTGTATCATATTATTTGGAAACATAAAAATTTGGATCATATTATTTTTGAATAATAATATATGAATTAAATAAAAGTTTTGTTCAATACAAAATTTGTATCATTATATTTTTTGAATCATAAAACATATAATAATTAAAGATCATAAGATACTTGAATCAAAATATTTTTAGATCATAACCATATTGAATCACAATTTTTTAATCATAAATATTTTAAACTATCTCATTTTTTATCTTATTATCTTCAACACTTTTTAAAGCTTTTAATCTTTTAAAATAAAGTTTGGTATCTAAAATAACATATTTTTTAAAAATTCCTTTTACAAAGTTATTAGTGCAGTAACTATAAGTATTCCATAAATTTTTAGTATAATTTTTGGAGAATTTTTTTCTAGGTTTTTTATAAATATTAAAAATTAATATATATATATATATATATATATATATATATATATATATATATATATATATATATATATATTAAAATTTCATAATTGTGTTTATTTTATAGAAATTTAAATTTTAATAACTTTGGCTATTTCATTTTTTTCAAAGAAAAAAAAATTATGGTTGAAAAACAAAATGTATCACTATGGGGAGGGGTTAGGGATGTCAACGGGACCAAACGGGAGTGGGAATAGTTGCCCCCGCTCCCACCCTCGAAATCAATTGTTGCCCCCGCTCCCGGTCCCACCCCCGGTTACCTCTATCACCACCGGTCCCGCCCCCGTTCCCCCGGTTCCCCTGCTTAAAATTCGTCTTTTATGCTAAACAACTACTTTGTATTAGGCTAAAAAGCTTATTTTTAATAACTTTAAAAGTTTAAAACATAATCTTTTAGAAACTAAAAAATTAAAAATCCAACATGACGAATTCAACATTACTAAACGACAATTTCATCAATCTTAAAAATATAAAATATGACAAATCCAATATTACAAATATAAAATACTTACATATCCAAAAATATATGATCAATTCACTACCTCTTCAATATCTATTAATTGGAAACGGGAAAGTAAAACCTAACCTACACTTAAAATTAGAAAATCTATTTTGTATATGTATTTTATATTAAATATATATTTTTTACATAAATGTACTACCGAGGGCCCGCGGGAGTACGGGACGAGAATACCAACTCCTGACCCCGATCCCGAAAATAAGCGGGGTTTAATTTTGCCCCCGCTCCCGTTTTTTTTAAAATTTAGTCCCGTACGGGATCGGGATCCCACGGGAGCGAGGTCCCACGGGATTTTTGACATCCCTAGGAGGGGCGTGTGGTGAAGCGTAGCTTCGTTTATGCACAACCCGTTTGATCTGAAATAGTTTCCATTTATCCTTCTTTAACACTTTTAACCCTAGCCTTTAACCATTTTCTGGAAATATGTAAATGTTTAGGAGTAATTACAAAATGTGTCATTGTGAAATAAAAAGAAAAAAAATAAAATAGTAGATTAACAATAGCCATCCAACTTTAGAGATTAAAGGTTTAGATTAGTCAACCCGGTTAAAATCAGTTTATATATATATATATATATATATATATATATATATATATATATATATATATATATATATATATATATATATATATATATAGAGAGAGAGAGAGGGAGAGATCAAATGAAAACACCTAAAAGGTTGAGAACGCGAGAACAATTCTGGACCAATGAATGTATAAGAGCATACTAGTAATTGTATATTTTAATTAAATTAAAATAACCTAAAATTCAATCAAATTCCCTTAAATTTAGGATCAGTTACCAAAAAAGAAATAAATATTCAATTTTTTATTTTTCTTATTAATGGAATATAAAAATCATTTTTACAAAAATTTATTTTAAAACTGAAAAACAATTCTTACAAAAATCAATTTTTTTCTCCTATTTCACGGGGGGGTTTTTTTTTCTGTTCAAAAAAATGAATAGAAATCGAACACCAAATTAGTACATTTGTATTCATAAATGATTTTTTTTTTCAAAAAACCTGATACTACTCCAATCACAAATAAATACACATCAATTTACAAGTAATCCAATTTCTTTTTTTAATCAACTGAAAATAAAAAGAGTGTAAAAATTATCATTTCTTCATAAAAAGATTACCTCTAATAATAAATAAATATACTCATTAACACATGCTTACATTGTTATTCACAAATGAATATAGTGCTATTAAGAAATAAGTACCATATTATTCGGAATTGAATAAATGAATACCTCTAATCATAAATAAATACATTCATTTACTGTTATTGACAAATGAATACACTACCGTTCACACATGAATGCACTGCTGTTCATTCACTGTTATTAACACATGAATGCACTGCTATTCACAAATGAATACACTACTATTCATAGATAAATACAAATTTTCATTCTTCCATTTCCTCTCACACTCCCTTCTTTTTCACCTGTCTTCGAGTTGCAACAAAAACACCCCCATCAGAGGTGTTTGTTGGTGGTTTCCGATGAGCCAAGGGCAGCAGCTCCCTCTGTTTTCTCCCATTCTTTTACAACAACAGGGGGTGTTTGGGTTTCTTCATTGTTGTCTGTGGAAGCTTCATTTGATAGCAATTCATTCATAGGGGCATCTTGGTAATTTGAGTCGTTTCTAGCCCCACCATTGAACGCCAAACCATTATGTCCATGAAATTCTTCTAGGCTAAGCCAGTCTGCACATAAAATCTTTGGTAATTTATTAATATGAGTTTGTGGGATCAGTTGATCCGTGTCAGCATAGGAACGGTTTGCAAATTCAGATGAATCAAAGCTTAGGTTTCATGACATTGAATTCATATATGATGATGATGATTACGTAAACAAGAACATTCAAAAAATTGGAACATGAAATTAGAAAAAGAAATAGAAAACCTAGGATTACCATAATTGCCCCTCCCATTGCTTTTTAGCAGTTATGTCGGCTGCTATAATATCTGTTGGATAAGGTGTCTAAGTCCATAACTATTTCGGGTATGTACTTGACCCGACCCGGCATGGTCCATTTGGGTTGCATGGCACCATGCAATTGGATAGACTAAATGAGAGAAATAACACTTGGAGATTATTAATATATTATAAGTTCTAATATATTAATAATATTATTTGATTAGTTTGATCAAGAATTAATTTAGAATTAATTATGTGATCAAAAGATAACTAATTAAATATATGGGTTGATTATGTAAATCATCCATATCTTGTATAGTGGGCTAAGAGGCTCCATGGATTATCAAGTTGGGTTCCACCCATAGGATGCTCCATGGATGCTCCATGGGAGTTACAAACCCATGGGTCATGGAAATGAAGAGTCATGACACATTAGGGTTTAACCCTAGATGTGTCAACACTATATAAGAAACATATTCTCCACCAAAATCGGCGACACTAAGAAACAAGAGGGCTTAGCCGATTTTTGAGAAGTGTGTGTTCTCTCATAAGTTCTTCCAAGAGCATTTGGTGTTGTATGAAGCATTTGAGGCATCACACTTGGGGTGCTAGGCTCACAAGGTTTCAAGGAACACAAACAACAACAAGGTAAGTTATTCTATCTATACTTTAAGTTAAAATTGTTCCCCATGTATGCTAGATAGGAATATAATCTTGGAATTCAACTTTGCATGATAATTAGACAAACATAGATCCAAGGTTATTAGGGTTGCATGTACACTTAGGAAGTGTTAGAATGCTCAAAACCCATCAGTGGTATCAGAGTCTAGGCTTGTTTTCTTTTTATTTTTGCTTAGAAGTTGAAAAAAGTCGAAAATCTTGCTGTCTGCGAGTGGACTCGTCGAGTCTATAGGGGGACTCATCGAGTTCATGTGTATCTTCAACCAACTCGGCGAGTGAGTTCATGCACTCGACGAGTAGGGTCGACTGATTGCAGAATTTCGATTTAGTTGCTAGAAATGAATTAGAAACATTACCTTAAACTGTTTTGGTAATTGAAAACTTGTTTTTGGTGGTGTAATGTCTTTGATAATTCATTTACAACAACTAGTTATCAAAATTACAAAGTTTTAAGTGTAATTTATGAATGTGTTCATATTCATGTTCTTGGTCTTATGATGTTTTAGATGATCATAGGAATTATTTGTAACCTATGTGGTAGATTAATTCTTGATCATAATGTGTTTTAATGGAGTCCATAACTTGTCCTCAAGTTATGGAAAACCAAGAGTCACACTTGAATTAAAACCATTAAAACAAACACAAGAGTTAGAAAAATGAAGAGTCTTCATTTTATTACTCTATTAAACTCATAAGTTACAAGAAATGAAAAGTTTTGAAAGTTACAAAACTTGCCCTCAAGTTTTGGAACAAGTAAAGTTAAGTTAAAACTTTAAGTTCCAACCCCTAGAATTTTAAAAGTTAAAATTCAACCCTTATACTTATATTATGATGATTTAATAATTATATATATATATATATATATATATATATATATATATATATATATATATATATATATGTATAAGAATAAAGTCGTCTTACCGCTAGTACGCCTCATTCACGAAGCCGGTCTATAAGGTGGGTATAAGGTTGTTGCCTATAAAATGGTGACTTAATGGGTGTCTACTCTCACCCACCGCTTGCTTGACTGGTGGAGGGTCGTTAGCCGAACGGGTAAGACAAGGACTTATAAACTCTCATTCAAAGTATGATGAATATTATAAAGTAACTAAATGTTTTATTAAATTCCCAATCTTAGTTACTTTAGGAAAATGTGAATAAGGTGCTAATCCATGAAATTACACTTTACACTTTGTCTAAGTCGTTGGTGGAGCGTGTGTGGTTAACCGGCACACTAACTTGGACTTAACAAGGTAGGTAAAGGGTGACTTAAGGTTTATTATAGTATCGGTGGAGCGTGTGTGGTTTACCGGCACATCGATTGAGTGATAAACTTTAAGGGTACCAAGTGATTTGCATGGTTACTTCACACCTCGTTTTGTGATCCT